AAGACATTAAAGTTAATAAACAAGTTTTGGGGTTGCTCTAAGGATTTGCAATTGAAACGAAACTCAAGCAGGCATTAGCAAGCATGAAAGCACAGATTTGGCAACAGTAGTAGCGCTTTGGTGCTCAAAAGAGAGAATTTTGGGAAAAAATGGCAGAGCACGCAGCGCTTTGGCACTACCATACAGCGCCTTGGTGCTACCTTCAAAAAAAAAAAAAAAAAACCCTTGTAACTTTCGCACCTCCTCTTGCGCCCAATGAAGACACTGACTGACAACTACTCAGGGAAGTCCTCTACACTCTCTTGCTTTACTTTTCCATTGAGGACAATGTCAGTTTTAAGTTTGGGGAGTTAACTATCTTATTTTATGTTATTTTATTCAGTTTATTAAAAAAAAAAAACTTGAGCGTTTGTTCGGCTTGTTTCGCCCCCGGCCGATGATGAGACAACGATTGAACTTAACTATGGTTTCTGGGAGACAATGAATAATTTGATTGTTTGTGTGCTTGACTTGTTTGTTGGTTTTGCTCTACTTATGATTTCCTTGCATTGTTGAGCACATAACTAAGAGCACTTGGCTATTTTGTGAACTTAGAGAAAGTTTATGTGAATTTCATGTTTCTTAAGATCTCACCGGACTCTAGAACTTGTTTGATTATCACTCGAGACGAAATCCCAGGCAATTTATCACTAAGGAAATGATTTAGGCCATTTTTGGATCGTTTGAGCCATTTGAACTTACCCTGTTGTAATAATATCCCTAGTCACCTCTTTGAGCCTGATTAAACTTTTTTTTGTCATCCACATTATTAGCTTAGCCTTTAAATAAATCCTATCATTCACCCTTACCCTTGAGCTTGTTGATTATTTTAGGATGCACGTTGAGTTGTGTTTGGAATTGGGAAGTGTATTGATATTTTCTATAATTTGTTTGATATCTCCAATGAAATTCTGTATTTGTCGTATTATTAAAAAAATCAAAAAAAAAATCAAAAAACAAAAAAAAATCAAAAAAAAAGAGAGAAAAAAAATAAAGAGTGGAGACAAGAATGTTGATGGCAAATGGCAGATGTATTGGGATATTGAGTTAGAAGTTAAATGTTCCGCAAATTTTAGAAAACCCCAGTAAGTACAAGTTAAAGTTTAAGTTACAGTGGCGGCCTCATAGGAGGGTCGTCACACTATTGATCCTTGGTGGTTTGTTGACCGACATTAGTGGAGAGTGATAAAAAAAGTAAGCCTATGGAGTTCGAAAAATCATAGATCTACCTTGATTCACTTAATTGCATAAACTCATCTAAGTTGCATTTGGATATGTGTAATTGATTATTCACACACACACATAAGGAGTCTTAGGTGGGGTTGAGATTAGCATTCGAGTTGAAAT